CGGAGTCTTCAACATGGCATTCTACGCGGGGGTCATTCTGACTAATTCGTCCTATGACTGAGGTGAGCAAGCCCAGGCAAGGGTTAAAGGCAAGGGCCGAGCCAGGTGAACCGTCGCGGGAACAAGGTGAACAGAGGCCGTGGCAATGTTGACCGACAGGCAACGCTTGAGCGCATGAAATGCTGGCTGGTAGTTTTATCACCGAAAAGGACAGATCTCGCCTTGCCTGTTCAGCTGCAAGAATGACAGATGTTGGAACTGTTCTACACTGCGGAGAGCCTGGCTCAGGGCTGTACGACCGTGAACGAGGCCACAACCCTTGCTGCACCCCAGCTTTGCCAGAGAAGCTTTCGCGAGGCATGCAACCCACCATTCATCGCTGTTTTGCAACAGATAGAGCTCGGTGTAACTCGCGATCCCGGTGGCTGTTCAATCATGGACCGGGACCATGACTAGGTAGCTGGATGTAAACTACATCCTTACGATGTTCATTCTCCATTACCTATGGATTACGTAGATGAACTGGGGACTTGCTTTGTAGTGCTGCCTTTGGTGTGCCTTGATGTCTTAGTTTCCGGTACTTTTGGCTGACTGGAGAGAGTCACGCTGCAAGCGTGGTGCCCTCCATTGCGACCACCCACTATCCCTCATCCGTTATACCAAAGAACCCTCCCGGTGAAGAGCAAGTGGCTTCACCAGGCATACAGAGAGCAAAAGCTGGGCTATGTTACCAGGGAGTTGTCTCTGCTCCTAACACACCCTCTTTGCCTTGTGAAGTCAGAAGACGCGAGAGTGAAGTGGTAAGCCACGGAAGATGACCTCGAGTGCGGTTTGCATTATTTTTAGCCCGGACTATATAAACACGCTCTTCCTGCAAGTATTACCTGCATCTCGCATCCTTTCAAGCCCAATATCGCGTGTCGCGATCGTTCTTAGCAACAGTATTAGATTGAACCGCATTCGCCCGTCGGCAGCCGGTGCTCACATCTCACCAAATACAACTCAACGACATCTCACGTCACGCAGTGCTCGACCGCCGACGACAAGTCGCATATTACCGAGCAAATCCGGAGGTTTTTTCGGTAAGTGCGCAAAAACCTGCACGATGGATTAAGACAGTAACTAATTGTGACCACAGTGGAAATCTTCTAATCTATCCGCGCTGTCCGAAGTCGAAGAGCAGTTTGCTGCCGCATAACATCAAATCAACATATATCCTTATCAACCACGATCTTTCTTTGATAACCAATACGACCCAGCCCACAGCCGCGCAAGCCGAGGCCGAAACGGCAGCTGCACAAAGCCCCAGTCTCAGACCAAAGCCGTTGCAAGGTTGCACGAGCAGCGAGGAGCAAAGAAGCCTGATTTGACAGCTCAGAAGACACGGCTGGAGCAGTCGGAACAAGGATCGACGCCTTACCGGATCAGGAAGAACGCTACTGCAGGCTTACCTAAGTGTGGCCGGGATACCTTGGCCATCAGTAGCATACAGAGGGCCACTCCCCAAGTCGGCAAGCAGAAAGCGCTGCAATCAAGACTCGTGCCATTCTCACTGGCTGCCACCGAGGAGAGCCGGGGTCCTCGCAATATATCATAAAGTAGCCACAGGCGATAGTTCTCCATCAACTGCCTACCTTGGCCTTGGACGGCTGCCTTTGATTGCCGGTGCTGTCTAGACCGGGGAAGGGTGTATCCTATTAAAAGAAACCCGAACACCCTGCATTGATCCTTGAGAGGAGAGGAGAAAGAGGGCAGATATTGGATTTTAAGAACAGCGACGAGGCCCAGACCAACAAGCGCAGATCACCAATTCAGTCACTCACTCCCCTGGCAGCAGCAGCAGCAGCAGCATCATCATCATCATCGCGGGGAAGCCTGTCTATCCTTGACTGGAACAGCCCGCACCCGAAGGACACAGGTAGCCTCCAGCAAGTGGCGGCGCATCCGAGTTCAATCAAGAAACCTGAGAGGGCGGCATCCTGAGCGACTTATAACCTGAGGTCCTGCCACAGACCACCATCCAATCATCCTCGCCATCACTCGACGGACTCACTCTCTCAAGTGAGGTGCTTCTCTTCACAAATTACCTGCCTATCTGCCTCACCTATCCTCCTTGGTACTGTGTGGTGACTAGCAGCTCCGAGCGAAATCAGGATCCTGATATCATATCGCGTTTTCCCCTTTCAACTATCCACTCACTCACCCACTCACCTACCTGCTCTTACCCGAGTAGTACACCACCACCACCACCACCACCCCCAAAGCCCGGAGCATATATCACGGCACACCAGCACTCCGCTCCACACCTCCATACCGGCCCCCTTTGCGAGCTACTCTTAGCGCATGCTCCCGGCCCTCGCCCGCCGCCGCCGCCACCCCTTCACTTCTCACCCCAATTCAGATCCATTGTCACCGCCGTCGACTTGGATAGAAAGGGGACCAACGGCCAATTTCTCGAGCCTCATTATCTCCTCCAGTACGGTGTCAGAGAGACATTTAGCTAGTTAGCTGGCTAGCTACTGAGTAGTCAGCTACGTCAGAGCCTTGCCTGTGCCTTCGCCGCCGCAGCCAAGGAAGCGGATAACTGGGGCGAATCGACTCAGCCTCAGGCGCACTCATCATCAGCCGCCCTACGTCGACTGTCTCGTCGTACCTTAGCAAAGTCGCTGCCAACGGGACCCTGATTATTGTTACGGGCTCCCCGTTCCAGCGTACCCGGGGCGGTTCCAGTTGTGCTGTAGCTCAAAAACAGCGACCAACCCCGCGCCCCCGAGCATCCCACGTTGTCTGATCTTCCCTTCCAACACTTTCCAGTGTTAACGACCTGACTTGAGCCTGACTCATCCACCATATCCGATTGCTCTCCGCATTCCACGAGAAGCCAGCATTCCTCCGCACATCGCACCGCACTACTTACTGTGTCTACTGTCGTATACAGTGGGCTTCTTCCGACTTTTCCAGAGCACCCCAGTCCAGCTCCCCGCGCTTTACTCCAAATAAACCACCGGAACATCCACTGCGACTCTTACCAGCGCCTGCCGAACCCTGCGCTGCATTGCACTTGGAGACTTTTGTGCGACCCCGAACCTCAGCAATTCTAACAAGGGATCAGCCCTCTTCCTTCAGGCATTGCCTACGCCGGAGTCGCATCGGCGCCCCTCCTCCAGACCAACTGCAGAGCAGCAAGTGGGATCATCGGTTGCTGTCTCTCGACGATTACTGTACTGTACAATCGCCGCCCATTGTCAGCATCATCGCGCTCAACATCGTGAGGCCGCGCATACGTCCAGGCATCCTCCTGCACTGCGCTGCACTATTGCGACCAAGAAATAGGGCCCCCGGCCGTTCTCGTTCTGTCATCCCGCATTTCTTTTTCCCTCGGGGTGCTATACAGCGCTGCATCTCGCCCATCCCTCTAAAGAGCGCATTTCCCAAGCGAGTTAGCGGCCTACCTCAGTCCAGCCCAATCGCCCGCCCGCCTTTGCAGTTGCCAGACTTCCGAGCCGCCTCCCTCTCCAATCGACTGGCAGCAAATCAGCAAGAGAGAGAGCGAGAGAATTAAGGGCATCATTGTCGACTTGCCTCTCTCTGCCTGCATCCTGCCGACTCGCCCTACCTTCGAGTGCTCACCGAGACATTCAGCTACCCTCACGGTCCGGCATCGCTGTGCGCAACTGTTCAGCGCTCGCTTCGGTCTGTTCTCTGCCTGACCGACTCATACTTCAACCCCACCGTCAGAAGCGTTCTGCCCTGTAATGGATCTTTGACTGTTGCGGTCACCGACTCCTCGAAGAACACAACAACAGAACCACCGCTCCAGGTAAGTTTGAGACCGGCTTTGTGCTTCCTTCCATGCGCCCCGCATGAACCATTAGAACCCTGGCTGCGGGATGCGCGACCAAGTCCCGCGGTTCGTCGAGGTTTGCTGCTCCACCTGCGATTGACCGCAAGATGCATGGGCAGCCCTCTTGCCACCATTCCCGCCCTACCCTCGCTGCACCTCCTTGGCCGTACCTCGTTCTCAAAGACATTGGGCTAACATTCTCCAAGCCTGACAGGACCCTCGCCAACCGCCGCCTGGTGGAAAGCACACTTATATCTTGATTCCCGGAGCCGATCGTCGGTTTTGGCCGTCCACTCAGTACTACATCTATCAACCACATATTACAACCTTCATGATGGCCCAGCACGGCTTCAACCAATTTGGGGGAGGACACGGGGGGAGTATCGACCCGAACGATCTTAATTATTCGGGCGGTTTCCAGAACAACTACAACTCAAACCAGAACAACGCGTCCAACGCATTTTCTAGCGGATCGGCCGTATTCGGCGACGACGAACTACTCGATGGCCTAGCGAGCCCGACCGAGCCTCAGGGCATGCAAGGCCACGGACAAGAATTCGGAGGCATGGGAGATATGAATATGGGATATAACCAAGGCATTTACAACAACAGTAACCATGGTCTGCCACTGGACCAGTCACATATGAATGGATACTCAAACACACCGGATGGAGACCCTATCCAGAGTCCATTCGTACATAACTTCACCCAATATCGCCAAATGCACCACCCTCAATCCTTTGGCACATCACTTCAGTCGCCTGTATCCTTTACAGGCTCTCCATTAGCTGGCTCAGATATGAACAACGAGGACCCAAACTACCTGAATGCTAAGATGCGACAACAGCGCATGTCTGCACAAGCTATGCAACGGAAGGCTTCCAATACCCGAAGCCCACTCACCCCCAAAGCCGCCGCAATGGCCGGCTTGTCTATCAGCTCCCAAGATGGATTTCCCTCTCAACCCATCCGGACAGGCGGTCCCCATCATGAAAAGTCTCAATCGGGCCAGTGGGTACAGACACCAAACAGCCTGGCTTCTTTCCCAGGGTCCGGTCTATCCTCACCGCTTCAAGCGGGGTTGCACAGCGCGCAAATCAATGATTTTTTGCTTAAAGGTGGTACTTCTATGCCAGCTAAGCTCGGACAGCCTGGTATGACCTCATCACAAGAAGCCAAGCGGAAGCGAAGGAGAGAATCACACAATCTAGTTGAGCGACGGAGGAGAGACAACATCAATGAGAGGATTCAGGACCTCAGCAAACTTGTTCCAGGTCATCGTTTGGAAGACGAGAAGATCCGGAAGCTCATCCAGAATGGCACCCCACTCTCCCCAACCCTTACCGGCGTTTCCAGCCCTGGACAAGCAACGTCTGCTCTTGCGGGCCCGGGTGCAAGACGAGCCACCAGCAGCACCGCAGGCAATATTACAACCGGTCTGCCTGTCGAAGACAAGGACAAGGGCCCGAACAAAGGAGACATTCTCAACGGTGCTGTCAGCTGGACTCGCGACCTCATGTGGATGCTTCATCTGAAGATGCAGCAACAAGAGGAGCTAATTAACACCATTGCGGAGCTCGGCGGCCAAGTTCCTTTTGAAATGACCGACGACGAGAAGCGAATGCAGACTGAACTGCTAGAGGCCATCGCCAAGAACGAGACGGCCGAGTTCACGTACTCTCGCGCAGCTGGCTCTGGCCTGAGAGTACCCCATCACACCGACTACAAGGGCGAGCCCCTAAACGGCGCCCCTGATATCTCCATCAGCCCTGATGGAGATCTAAATGGCGGCATGGTGGACTCCAACCAGTTCTGGGGCGATGAGGACGACGGCAGCGGAGACATCAAGTTCGACAAGGACAGCTTCAATGAGGAGGACGAGTTCATGGACCTCAATTAACAGGAACCCACGAAAGGGCAATCTATCTCTCTTTATTTGCCTGCACACACTTCTACAGGTTAAGGATATTGGCGTTTTATCATATTATATGAGTCTCGGGAGTCTTGTGCCTCTGCTCAAGCAGATGGCTATTTCTTGGACTGGTCATACTTTGCTTTTGGTTATCTTTATACTAGTACCCCCTGTTGCATGCATTTCCGGCCAAAGACCGAAGTTTTTCTATCTCCCTCTTCTGCATTTCCAGAGGGTCGTTCAGGAGCAGCGTGTCGGATCAAGAGTGGCGCATATTAAACGGACTTCTTCATGAGGAGGGGATACTTACATGGGAACCCGCCACCTTACAAGAACCGGCCCCATCCCTTCTTTTGTGAACTGCTTTATTGTTATTGATTTTGAAACCTCTTTTCCAGGTCTCCGGTTTTTTTTTTGCTTTTTTTCATCTTCTGTCTGGATTTTTCTTACACCGAGATACCTGTGGGTACGGAACGGGATGGAACGGATCAATTGGGGGCATTATCTGTGCTATCTTCCGGTTGTGTTTTGGGCATTTTTGTCTTGTAGCTAATTCATATACAATAACACACTCTTCACCATACAATACCCTCCTCGCCCATTTCATGATTTGTGATTCAATGCGTTGTAGCGTGGCATCGTTTAAGCGTCAAGCATCATGTGTTGGACCGGACGCAGGTGTCTCTTGAAAGGCCGAGTTCAGTCTATCGAGTCTTTTGATTGACTACTATTCAATTACGTCTTTTGGGCTCGTCAACGCGAGCGTGGTAAACGAGAAAAAAATAAAAATAAAGTAAAGTGACACGACAAGTACCGCTAATCTTGATGTCTGCGCCGTTGAACCGCCCATTTTTTGGTGATGATGTGATTGGAAAAGGAAAGGAAAGGAAATGAACAAAACACTTGTGCCCCCCCGAAAGTTCTATCTAATGCCTTCGTCTTGAGCCCATGTTGAATGACTGCCGGGGTATTTGCGAAACAATGGATAATCAAAAAAAGAAGGGAAAGGATTAAAAAACTCCCAAGCACCGGTCGATGATGATGATGGATGCGCTGGTCATGGCCGTCGTCCCCTTTGCTGTCTAGAATCCCAACGTGCGCTGATCGCGCTTATGAAGAAGTCTTGTCCGGAAAGACTGGTCGCCTCCCGCGAGTTCCCGTCATGCGAGCTGGGAGTCGCAACTCACGCCTCTTGACACCACCTCCTTTCCCGGAGGGGCATCTCCTTGCCAGAGGCGGCCCGGGTGCCGTCCTCCTCGGCACGCCACGCCCAGTACTCGCCCAGGCGCACCTCGGCGTACGCAGCGTAGTCGAAGTCGATCTCGCTGATGGTCGCCTGGATGAGCGCCCAGATGCCCCAGTAGAAGCCCGGCAGGCCGCGGAACACATCAACCTCTGCAAACAGCTTCTCGGCCTCTGAGGCCTCGTCTAGCTTCTGTGTCGGCGGGAGAAGGCTGACATAGGAGCGCATGTACTCGGCGATGAACTCGCGGCGCTGAGACCGGGTCGGCAGCACGTTGTAGTCGCAGTCGAAGCCGCCCCATTCAGCGAAGTGGTTGGCCAGGTCGAATGCCGCCGGCGAAGGGGTGGCATACTCGTAGTCGATAAAGGTCACCGACTCCGTGGTCTTCTCAACATCCGTCTTAGGAAGCACGATCACGTTCCCGCTGAGCAGATCGCAGTGGGCGAATACAAGCTATCCAGAGCATACATATTAGCTTTTGTCCCAATCGAGGATATGGCCCCCTGAGCGCAATTGCCGCGACTTACCCCGTCCTGGCCCAGTCCTGGCCGATGGCTTAGCTCATCGACCAAGCCGACGAGCTCCTTCTGCAGGTTCACTTGGCGTTGCCTCTGCGCCTCGGTCTCCGTAGGCAGGGCAAATATCCACTTCTGCATGACTGTCCACACATTTGGGGGCAGCTTCCCCGGCGCCACGTTGTCGACGGCCTCCTGCAGACTAGCATGCCCGTTCAAGGCCCCCGCGCTCTCGGGACAGTGTCCGTTCATACCAGCACTGATGTGCGTCTTGCCCGGGAGGCAGGGTACTGTAGCATGCCATTGCGCCAGGCGCCTCGCGACGGCGTTGTAGATCTGGGGCTTCCGGAGGTCCTCCGGGTGCGTGACGCTTCCTCTGATGAAGCGGTAGAGCATGCCATTGTGGAATCGGGCCAGTAGCTCGGGTGCCAGGCCGTGCTGCATCAGCAGCTCGTGGTTTTGCGTCTCGCGTTGGCGGTCGATGATGAGGTCGGTGCCATGACCGTAGGCACGTAGCAGAATGGACTCCTTGTCAACCTCCTCTTTCGACAGACCGGGCCGTTTGTTCACAGCCTTGAGCAGAGTATTTGTGATGCCGTCGGTGAAGCGCACGAACTCGATCTTTGAGGTCGGGTCGTCTACCCAGTCGGGGCGTAGCGTGTGGATTAGCCGCAGAGCGGATTCTTCTGACTTGTCGCTGTCGTAGGAGAGGGAGAGGAAGCGGACGTGGCCATCGAGGCCGTTCTTCGTGCCGTTGGCTATCATGGCCGTGGGCAGTGGCTGTTGGGAGACCTTGTTCAGGGGTTCGTGTCGGTGAAGGTGTGGGGTTGGGACTGGGAGAGATCAAGAGTTGCGGTCTGGTGTTGAGGTCTGGCAGGTGAAGAGTCGTTTCAATGGCAATGCAAACAGACAATTCGATTGACAGGAAGTTGAAGCTGGCAAATTTGCCTACGTAGAGATCGTTGGAGTTTCTTGAAAGAGTGAATAAAGGTCACCACGGATAAAGGAACGTCATTCCGGGTGCAAAGGGGTGTGTATCAGTGACGGCACAACCAAACACAGCGCGCCGTTTACACAATTAGGCAGGAGGGGCGAGCCGAGCTCAGCAGCCAATTGAGCAAGGTCCCAAGCAAACGGGCAGCAGATACCTAGGTAGATACCTACAACTGTGGACGGCAATACGATGGCGTCGTTATGTCGTCGTTATGTACGCGCGGACAAACAATGTACACACAATGGAGGTTCCTGCACTCGTGGTACTGGACAAGTCGATGGAGAAAACGGCGGCCGCTGTAACCGCCGTGCCGACTGTCAATTGCCCCTAAAAGCGCACGCGGCCAGTTTCCCAAGAAGGACTCTAAGTCGGGGTTTTCTGTCACGGGCACCCAGCTAAACAGTGTTAGTTAATTCGCAAATTACCTGGGTATTTAGTGAGTTGGAGACATGGCTTCGACATGCTCAACGAACCCTCAACGCCACGCCCACCAACTTTCAGGGGTCTGTAGGTACCTAGCATGTGATCAGTGGATTGATAACGGCGGGGCGCAGCCGTACCTGTTCCCTTGTGCAAGGTTCGGAAGGGCTCCGTATCTGACCTACCACACCTACATACATACATGTAGGTAGGGCTTTCCCGCAGTAATGGCTGCTGCCAGGGTTGCCAGCTGCCGATCAGCAGACGACAGCCTTTTACACCTGTCAGGCTCATGATCTAAGCACTGCACTTGTCTCATACTGAGCGCATCAACACGACCACCCGCTCAGGATGATGAGACTGCTCGCCTGGCAGGTCAATTCTGCTATGCCATGATGCGAGCTTGAGTTGGGATTATCCTGAAGAGTCTCCAAGCAATGGGCCTGGTGTGGCTGGTAAGAACATCAGCCTTCCTTCCAAGCGGCAGAGCGAGAGCTTCACCAGAAGACCCAAGAGCATGAGAAGAGCAGCAACACCCCCCAAACATGTCGCTTCCAATTCTTCCCAATCCGTCCAACTTCCTGGGCGTCGCACTGGTCATCAATCGATCACGCGATGGCCCCAGATTCGTCTTTCACTATCCCCCGCGCATACAGCCCGCCTCTGACCGTTACAGAGACTATGGCGATGAAGGCAACGATGAGGACGATGTCCTGCTTGAGAGATCAGCGCGGCCGTCGGCTCTCGAGACCACCAACGGCTCGGAGAGCAATCCGTCTCCTCTACTTCATAAGAACCCAGATGAGCATCATGTCACCGAGAGCGGAACCCAGATCGTTCCTTGGGAGCATGTGGCAGGGTTCCCGACCAAGGATCTGGAGAGCATCCTAACCCCAGGGAGGGCTTATCATAAGGGATTGTTCCAGATCTCGCTGGATCCTCTCATATGTGTCTCGTATCCCATCTATGCCCCAGAGAACGGCATCTGGAAAAAGAAGAGCAAGAAGAAAAAGAAGAAGTCGAAAACGTCAAGGAAAGGCGAAGAGGAAGTCGCCCCAGACATTGAGCCTCGTGATGATGCGCCAGCGCCCACCGAAGAAGACCATGTCGAAGTCAGAGACATGGCCGCACCGCCGCCTTCAAAAGTGCCCGCAGCAGAAGAAGCGGAGGACAAGGTCAGCTCCATGACCATGTTCAATCTAGTGTTCATCTTGAACCCCCAAAAGCACGAGGCCAAGGAGATGGTCGAGTTAATGTATTCAAACATTGTGCGCAAGGTCAACAAGGCATATAAGTATGTTCAACAGCGAAGCGATTTTGTATGGAAAGAGTCTAAGAGAATTCTGACCCTAAAAGACAAGGCGCGCGAGGACAGTACGTATGGTCATCTCAAGATATATTGAGTCGCAAACTGACATTAAAACATAGAACGAAAGATGAGCCTTCTGTGGGAAGAAATTCTTCAGACATCGTCGCTAGCAGCGTCCATGCAAGATCTCTATGATTGTATATCAACCAACAAAATCGCTACCCTACAGCTAGACACCGCGGAGGGTGCCATAACCCACTCGGTGCAAATTCCAGTGCCATTCCATATTCCAGACTTAATTCCTGACGGCGAGGATAATTTCCGTGGCGTGTGGATCACGACTGCAAATTCCTTTACTGCCGAGGACGGCTTCGACGAGTCCGGCTATCTCGAGAAAAACTTCGCACTGCTGCTCATGGACGATGAGAAGAAGATCATCTCAGAGCTGCAAGCGGACCCAGACGAGTCGACGCTGTCTATGATCGAGTTCGTGCGGCACTCCAAACCAACTATGTCCTTTCACCAAGTAGGGCAGCAGTCCAGCAATATTTTGACCATCAGCCATGTGCGCAAGTACGCACAGCACTTTATCTTCTGGCGGCGGGCCATCGCCATACCGCCTCTTCACGCCAGAGACATCTACATACTGTCCCCCAACGCCGATATGCGTCAGCTACCGGGTGCGAGTGCAGTATGGGCTCGACAGTTCCCTTTTGCTCCGCCCCTGCCCAACTTTCTCGCAGATCTGAGCGCTGCTCCGCGGCTGTACAAGACATTTAGTCCAGGCAAAAGCTACCGGCCCGCCTATCTCACCATGCTCGCTTGGCTGATGCGTGGTGGCTGGGTCACGCAGCTGTGTACATTTGCATATGTCGTTGTCTGGCCCGAGATCATCTACGAGGTCGACTACGAGGTCGAAGCGGCAGACGTCGCCAAGATGAGAGAGACAAAGGACGACGTAACCGAGAAGCACGAGAATAGCTCCCCTGAGAAGGGAAGCAGCAGTGAAAACCTGGCCTCGTCTACAGCCACCATCCTCCCTATAGGGTCTTCAAGCGGCGCTGGCCTCGGTCTTGGGATCGGTGGTTTGCAGATATCAGACGACGAGACACAGTCGTCCCCCGTCTCCCAAGTATCATCATCGTCCCCGTCCTCGTCGTTCAAGTCTGCCCCAGACTCCAATGATTCCCAGTCGCACCCACACCACGAACACCACCATCACCCCCCCCCCACCGCGGCCGAGCAGGCGGCCGAAAAGGCCCGGCTCGAGCGCATCGCAGACAAGGCAGCACGCGAGCTGGCCGACAAGGCAACGGCGCACAACCGCAAGGTGCCGCCCAAGCAGACGGCACACCCGTCCGTCAACGACGCGCCGCACCTGGCGCACATCTCGCCACACATCATCCTCGACCCCAAGCAGGCGACGGGCATCGAGTCGACGTACCTGCACAAGATCGCCGAGCGGCTGCGGCAGCAGCGTGCCAAGCCGCCGACATCGAGCAAGAAGGACGGCGGCGGGGCCGAGAGGAGGGACACGGCCACGGCGACTCGGGAGTGGGACGCGCGCGTGGCTACCGCCTGGCCGCTGTTTTGGAAGTATTTCAACGGGCGCTCGGCGCTGGAGCGCATTGCGCTGCAGGAGGAAATGAAACGCAAGGATGTATGGAACTTGCTTACTGCCATGAGCGAGTATCTAATATGTGTGCGGCACTGGTGACGAGACAACCGTTTTATTCATGTCTGCTCTTTTTTAAGATCATCACGATTTCTAAACGCGTCGAATTGATCGTTGAAGGCGTCAGGATGCCATGGGCTCCAGGTTGGCTGAATACGCTATGACGCTGATCGGCAGCCATGAATAGTTAATAATAGAAGAGACTTTGAACCGAACCCCCAAATTCCGATTGAACCAACTATAAAGTACTCCAATGAATGATATAAGACACCACAGAAAGCATAATGCCGTAAGCCGTCCCAAGAAGCGCAACTCCCCGTCCTATGAATCTGTATCCATTTTATCAAGTTCCGGCACTGGGGATCCCAGCCTGACCTCGTTTCCTTGCACCTGTTCTACACCGTGTTCCAGTTCCTGCCCTGATTCTTGTGGTACGTCAGATCCGAAGACGTCCGGTTCTGGCTCTGGGGGCTGTGTCATTCGCACCTCCGGAGCTAACTCCTCCACATCATGCAGCTCTTGCTCATCTTCTGGCCGCTTCCCCTCTACTTTCCGATACTCTGGCTCTCTGAATTCGGGTTCTCTTGACTCTCTCTCCCTAGCTTTATCTGTGCTCGCCGTGGTTGGTGTCTTCAAAGATCCCGAGTCCACCCTTACACTGTTACCTTCCGCACTGCTCGGGACTGTATTTGCGCCGGCCCCTGAATTCGTTGACTTGGGAGTGGGGGGAACGATCACATTCAAGACACAGTCGTCCAGATGTTCGTAAAACTCCTGCGCTGTGATGAATTGGCTATGACAAATTGAACACTTCGCGCCAGCACCTGGACGTTGGCCGTCTCTAGAAGCATTTGTGCTCAGCACCAGTTTCCTGCTGTTCGGTGGCGTCTGCTCGACGTTATGAACGGCAGTCAGATGACGTTTGAAGACGTCTGCGCGATTAAAAGCTTTCTCGTATGCTGTTCCAGCCCCAGGGCAGAACGGACAGACCATAGTACCCTTGTAGTGGGTTAGTGCATGACGATTTTTGTCGTATTTTCTAGCGAAACCTTTGGTATGGTATTCGCAACTTTCAATCGGGCACTTCTCAGGTCTTTCTTCCATGTGTGTCAACATGTGAGCTGCGAGGTCTTTGAAAACACGGCCACATTCCGGGTGAGGGCATCGGTTGCGATTTGGTGTCCCGCTCTCGTCCGGTCTACTACTTGCATTCGCGAAACCCGCCATAGTTACTTGCACTGGACTGTTCTGCATTTGTATGGATGTCGGAGCAGTGATGGGTATCTCTAAAGATGGCGCAGCAAGCAGTGTTGGCGGTTGGCCTACTAAGCCGTGTGGTGATATCCCTAGGGATGGTGGAGGAGGCGCTGGCGCAAGTCTTGGAACCTCTGACATGGGAGAACGTTGGCCCCCCCTAGGCGAAATAAAGTCCGGGGTCGGTTTATAGTCTGCTTCGTCATCCGCGCTGTCAGAGTCGCCGGCATCATCTCTCACGTCGACAGACTGGCGAACTTCTCGCATCCAATCCTTAAGGATAGTCATCGGTGGCCAGTCCCCACTAGCCTTACCTCCTCTATGCGGGTTGAAGTGCGCCCGTCGTAAGTGAGCCGCGGCATTATAATAAGCTCCGTATCGCTTCTGTGTGACACAAGCTTTGCACTTGGAAAGGGGTATAACAGGCTGAGGTGAATTCGAACTGTAGCTTTGTGGTTCAGTGCAAACCCATCGCTTGACCAAAGCCGCATGCTTTGCATCGTTGTGCCTCCGAAGCTCGTGTTCGCCGCGAAATCCTTCGGGATATTCATTGCACTTTGTACAATAAACTCTACGCAGTGGCGGCCTTTGGTAGGTGGGTCGCACTCTTGAGGCTGGAATCGGCGATGTAAGACCCCGTCCGCTGCTTCGGAAGATAGGGCTCTCTCCGACTGTATGTCTTCGGCCATGGTCTATTGTTCCTCCGGGAGATGTGAGCAGCCGATCTGAAGAGGTCTTCGTCGAGTAAGGATCTTTGTCAGAATAGAAAGAGGAATTCGGTGCCCATTGCTCAACAACTGGTCGGGTGTCCGGCAGTGGTTTTCTTGTCTCATCTCCTGTTCTTGCTATTGGAGGTAGGACGAACAGTTCCGGCCTGCTCAGCGTTCTTTGACGGATAAAACTGTTGATCAAGGATCCCTCCATGTCCCCTGTACCTAAGGATGCCAAGAAGTCTGCTGCTGAAGAAATACCACGTTCGGTCCACAGATCCTTTCTGACGATCAAAACCAGGGAATTGAAAAGCTCTCGATCCTCGTTGTTCAGCTCAATGGTTGTGTCATCAAGTATCATAGGGCAGGACCATTGGAACAGGCCCACAAGAGCTTTGTATACGCTGTGCATTGTGGCCGTTGTAGAATTTGTTCCGTAGCTTGCTTGTGGGCTTAACCTTGCCATCGCAGACGCAATATCGACAAGAATAGTTCTCACCATACTGAATATACATAGCGAGAAGAACAGAGCTAGCCAACTCCGGGGGTCTAAAAGTGCCCTCGTTGAAACAATGCTCTCGAAAGCTTGTAAAAATTGCGTCATGCAGTTGTATAGAAGACGGTAGCGCCCATGGTTGTCGATATCGTCGAAAAATGCATGCGAATGGGAATTGCCAGTATCAACGTGTATCGAAGGTTCACGCTGCTGGAGATCATAAAAGAGGGTCTCTCTGAGGAGAAGTTTCGCACGATACAACACGGGGAATGACACTGACTCAGCTCCCCGGCTTTCTGATATGTATCCGCTCAACTTCAGAAGCTGCCAAAAGTCATAAGCCGTGCCGCTAAGGTTCCAGCTAGAGGCGAAGGCCCTGAGTACGGGAGGTGCTCTGTCCATAGGAGCATGCGAGAAGGAGGATAATGTCGGGTTCGCGGGTGGAAGGTTTGCCAGGTCCTCGGTCCACCAGAATCCATCATCGAAATCCAGCTGTGCTTTCACCATGACAGCGATCTCTGGCGACACGGGATACGTTCGCTCGAGGAAATCGTTCATGTTGCGTCGTTGGGCGAGTGGGGACGCCATCGGCGTCAGACTCTGTCGAGGATATATCGAGACTAAAATGTCATGAGGATTAGGGATCATGCTCACTTGTGAGAATTAAAAGCATACCTGGTAGCATAACCTCTGCAAAAGTATCTAGGGGCCCTCTATGACAACCAAGGATCTTCCAGAAATCATTGTCGTTAGAACTCGATTGGTCGGGACAGACTGAGCATGGGTCATTCGAGTCACACTAAAGAGATCAGCAGACGTTCAGATGCCCGTCTTCAAAGCAAATAGCATACCCCTTTATTGAGTACCTTGCAACGTAAACAAGGTCCGATATCTCGAAGCAGTCTAAGTTCCTCAATCGACTCTAGTTTCGACTGTCCCACGCGACTGCGTTTCAACGGCGGAAGTAATGGATCAACTTCTGAATCAACCGAACCCCTTGGCTGACTATGAGCGGGAAATTCCGAGATAAATGAGTACGATCTCAGAGAATCGCGGTGATCTCTCGACAAGCCGGCCGAAGGAGGTGCTCCGAGTTGCATGTTACTTCCCTGCCCGGGTCTAGGGAGGTATACGGGAGAGGATTGCTTGGAGTAGTCGATACTATAGTTGCGGTGGTTTGAGTGTTCGGGAAAGATCAGAGGCGGTGTTCCTCCTACTGAAAGGCCAGAGTCTCTCTTGCCGGCGATAGCATGCTCCCTAGCGTGTAGGTCTCGGTCATCCTGATTAGAGAAGCCATAAATGTAATGCATACACCGGTCATCCCAGCATTTGAAAGAATGGGGATTCCTAAATCGCAGTGGTAGACTGTCTCTCAATCTGAGCCCACGGGCTACAGGGTCATATTGAGCGAGGTTCTTGTCCAACCAAGCTATGTATCCCGGTGGCGCATCATCTCGAAACCAGAGCTTCAATGTTTCAATCACCTTGGGATCATGAAGATACAATCCTGAAAAAGAGCAAGCAGGTTCAGTTTCGGGTTCGACAGATATCACTGACGATGGGGGCGGGCAAACCGACCTTGTTCTACAAAGGCGCTCTCAATACATTCGCATTGATACTGCAATGACCTGGCCTCCTCGATCTCTGACAAGACGGGAATCTTGTCACTGAGGTCTATTGAGATGGCATCAGACGACTGAATCAGACAAATAGCAATGATACAACGAGCCACCAAAGGGACTGACAACAGAAGTTTCATCACATAGGAAAGGCATCATGAGCAAAAGTAGACGAGGTGGCTTACGACTGTCATCGGCATAGGCGCGCAGGACTTTGGCCTTGTGGCGCAACATGTCCAGCTCAAGCTTGATATTAGGGCCATACTTCTGAGGCAGGAGAGCAGCTAGTTTGGCTTCTATCTCTGCTTGCTGGTCGAGGAGGGCTCGGATGGCGGGGTCCAGGGATGGATCGTAGGTTGGTACAGGTGCGGATGCTGGTGTTGAGGCCGAAGCTTGTGTTAGAACTGGTGCTTGTGTTTGTGATGCAATTGCTGGTGCTGGTGCTGGCGCCGGTGGTGGCAGCGACAGTGACAATGGCGGGAGTGGTGGCATTGGCACGGGCAGACCGGAAACATCGCGTTCCAGTCGATGCGCAGCAGAAGCAGCGCTCTCGGCGGCCATGGCCGTTTGCGCGGGTCGACCGTTTGACCGTGACGGTCGGTCGGGTCGGGGGCGGCGGTCTGTTGCGAATGTCTCTCGCTCCCGCCGGGACGATGAATTGAAACGTCTCAGAGTTCGGCGGTGGTAGTCGGGTGGTGGTCGCCCGCCGGCCTCAGCTCCGGGGCGTCTCTCTCTCGTGCATCAACAAAGCGCCGCAGCAGAGAGGCGCATCCTGGCAGAACACTAGACAGAAATGCGCTTTCTCCTCCGTGATCTCATTACAAGGCCATTGGGCTTTTAAGCAGCGACGGGTGCGCGCAGAGGTAGAGTCGTCACGGCGTGGAATATGGAAGGAATGGATTGCCACGCCTTTTCGGGGGGTGGGAGACAGAGAGCAACGGGCAGTCAGTCAGTTAGTTAGAA